CAAACAAATTGAAAAGGAAGTTATATGTACCATAAAAGAGTTAACCAGTTAATCAATAATTTACATTCTCTATTACAACCCTTCTAGTTAATTTTATAACTACTTGTTCTAACTTTCTTTGGATATAGAATTCTTATGTACTTTATTGAGGTTTTGAATTTAGTTTCCAATCCTATCTGAGTTTATTACTTTAAGTACATATAAATTTGTTTCAATATAGCTGATTCAAGCTCTTCTGCATTAAAAAAACATACTCTGATATGTAGATAAACTTTAGTATTAGCAATTTTAATTAACATAACTTTTGAATTTTACGAAATTGCTTATTCATCCATACACACAAAAACCATTTATATATCTTACTTTATTCAAATCCTTAATTTTAAATCAGTGGTTCCTGAACTTTTTTGTCTAGTAGACCCCTTGCCATGTTTTTCGGTTTTGGGTGGACCCCCTATTTACCTGATATTGATTTTTTGTAAATTCATCAACTTCAAATGTATTTTTGACAGTTGGTATAGTGCTACTCACTGTGAAAGATTTAAATTTCTAACTGTAGTGTGAAAAACTTAAGAAGAAACACATATTAATTTTATACATTTATTAATTAAATTCAAATTAATTTACCGCGGAAAAATACTTTTTTGTTACAAAATAAATCCTTACACACAGAGAAATTAAAAACGTACGCGGGTGGAGCTGCAGGCAACTGCTAGTTTATAATAATTTAATAATTCAGTTTCATATGTCAGAAAATAATCTTAATAACTTAAATTTTAATAAAATTTTTACATCATAGCTACTTTTATAAATTATGTAGAATTTAGATAAATGTATGTCTCTATATTATAAGGTAGTATAATGTAAGTAAATAGGTACTATCAGTGTATGTTGATTATTCCATTCATGAAATGCCAAAATTAAAGTCATGACTTGCTTATATGAGATCCACTGTCGTTGACCCCCATTTTCATTTCATGGACCCCCAATTTTTTTTTCACTTGGCACGAGCCCCTTGAAGGTTGTCATTGACCCCTGGGGGTCGATATAGACCACTTTGGGAATCGCTTTTTTAAAGGAACTATTTTTTGACCTCCATATACCCATTTGACTCATAAGGTATAAATTTTAAGTAAAAAAAAAAAGACTAAGCATAAACTTCCTTAAATGACTGTTTTGAAAGAACACAAATTTATAAATATTTTACAGAATCTAATAACCTCATTTTTACCCTCAGCTAAAAGTGAAAATGGAACATTACCCAATGACACAGAAATGAATGCTATTGTGACAAAACCACTAAATGGGAGTGCTGGGAGAAGTGATTGTGAAGCCCAGTCTCACAGCTCTGGTTCTCATTACTCAAAGAAAAGTCGTTCCTCTTTAGAAAAATCTCACTTTCCTAGAAGTGAACTTCAGACAATGATGTTGCTAGGTGAGCAGTTAATTGAAATGAATTCTACGTTTATTTAATAAGTTTTTATGTTATAGTTTCATAACAAAAAAGCATTCTTTCAATTCAAACTGATTTAAGCATAAGTTATCTTTGAATTTTGTGTCATGTTTTATGTAATGAAAAAGCCCATGTCTTATTGAATTTATATTCAAGCTTGATAATATAAAAAATATATAACTTATATTTTATAACAACAAAACAGAATGATAATTAAAACCAATTTAAAGGTTACTGATATTCTTATGTTTTTATACAATGAAAAAAGCAAGTCTCATTGAATTTATATTTCAAGCAGTTATTTACAGTATTTTTATTTTATTAAAAATAAACTGTAAATGTTATTTCGTTTTCGTGTTTTATTTATTTATTTTTTTAAGCTAAAATCTTAATATTTCTAATTTTTATGCATAATTCCCACTGTGCCATTTATTATTATAAGCAGTTTCTAAAAATGATTACATTTAAATGTATATTCAGGTCAAAATATTTCTAAAAAATTTTTTAATGTAAACAACAACAAAAAAAATAGTTTTTTTAATTATACGTGAGAAACATTATTTTTTGAAATAAGCTTTCATTGAAAAGTTTGAGAACCTACTTGTTAGTGGTATATAGTGCTATCATAGTTCTTTCGTCTAAAAGTTACTGAAAGGAGGTGATTTTGTAATCTGTTATGTTAAATCACTATTTTACCATTATTATTAGCGCATGGATGAATTGTTTTCTTGTTATATTTAAATGTAAAGAATACGTAGAAACCAAAAAAAATTAAAATTTGACTTCTACACAGTGATAAAATCAATTTGTTTATTGAACTTCATTATTAATTATTTCATTACAAATGTCCCCTTTTATAAAATCTTTTTTTACATTTGAAACGTGTTTTTTTCCCTCTGCCATTCAAAATGCTGTAAATTGTCATGAATGCCAAAGATACAGAAATGTTGTAAACAAATCTTTTTTTTTTTTCATTTAAGTAAGAAGTCTATTCATTGCTGCTTTTGTTACTGTATCTTGAAAGATAGATTAAATTGTTTTGTCAAAAATATGCTTGTATAAATGTTTGTTGTTCTCTTATTAAAAATGGAAAGGGATCATATTTTGTCTAAAAATTTGCAGTTTATCTCAAAATAGCATACATTAATGCATTCTGTACTTAAAAAGCAATTTTTATGTATATATTTATTCATTTTTGTTCATTTTTCGATATATGACTTAGCAAATTGAATTGAAACCATTAACATGCTTCCTTAGTGAAGATAGTAGTTAAATAAGAGTTATTCAGTAAACATTGTTAAGTATTTAAGAAAATAGGTCAAATAATTAATGCTTGCTCCTGATACGAGTATAAGACAGTTTGGTTTTTGAAGTAAATATTAAGTTGAGTTGAATGTTTATATTTAAGATAGGATTGGAAACGTTTTTTAATGCAAAGAACTTGATAATTTATTACTTAGAATATTTAATAAAACAGCAAAATAAATTTTATTAATGTTAAAAAGTGTTTAAATAAATAACTTTGTTAAATCGCTTAGATTTGGATAAGGCAGATTTTTCTTTTTCATTTCCAATGGCAAGGCATATTTCATTTATAAAAACAAGCCAATGCGAAACAATGAGCTAGCAATTACAAATGTTGACCGAAGTCATTGAAGCCTCAGGCGTTCTCTAGCTCTCCAATGCAAGGCAGTCTCGCAGTCTGCAGAGCCACGAAGTGCCCCGCATTGATGCAGATTAGCTCTTTTCAGAGATTCTCCCCGATCGCATAATGGACAAAGAGGGGTGTCGAAAATACCAATTGTATGGAGATGTTCATTCCGGCAGTCATGTCTCGTAACCAGCCGGAACAATGCTACTGCCTCACGTCTTGGGCAATCGGGTATATTAGCAAGATCTTCACTACTCCAAGTCTTGGATTTAATCCTATCTTGCATTTGTGCTTTGAATTTCGACTTCGAAGCTTGTTTCCAGAAGAGCTTTTTCAAGTGAAAAGACAACCCAGAGTCATTTGTTTGATGTAGAATGGATAAGGAAGAAATATTTGAAAATTAGACATTGTATTTTTAATTTGTTTATTAGGCATTTATAATGACATCAACAGGTTATTGATAGCAATATGCAAATTATATTTGATATCATAAATTAAACTGGATGGACACCTACCCAAAAAATAATGATAGCCTAATAGTATAGTAAATAGTTCAATTCATAAAAATTTTGAACCTTTAAAAAAAGATTGTATTTTAATTTATTAAAAGCTGAAAGTTGTCTTTATTTATAAGTTGTTAATTGAGTAATATCAAATGTGAGATGTATTTTTCATCGTTTATTTCTGTAAAAATGTGTTTTAAGCTAGAGATATTATTTTAGGTCATGGAGAGTATGGTGAGGTGTTTCTGGCCAAAGCAAAAGGCATTGTCGATCCAGACCAAGAGGTTGTAGTCATGGTTAAAGCCTTGCAGACTAGAGATGAAAACTCACATTTCGAATACCGAAGAGAAATGGATATGCTTAACAAACTACGCCATGAAAATATTGCTAAGCTCTTAGGAATATGTCGAGAGACAGAACCATTTTTATTTATAACAGAATACAGTGATTGGGTAAATATCTTCTTCAATATTTTTTTGAAAAAAATTGCAGAATGTTTTACTGTTAACAATATAAAAAAAATTTCTTCTCCTGAAATTTATGTTGTAAAAGTGATTTATGTGGTTCAATAAATGCAGATCCTATACATAAATTGTGAAACTATCTAATTGTTTTACCCGATATTCAAAATTGTTTGTAATAGTGAAAAAATAATTGTGAAATTTTTCTAGATTTTTTTTTTAAAAAGGAAAGAAAATGGAGAAAAGTCCTATACATAAATTCAGGAACTATCTAATTGTTTTACCCGATATTCAAAATCGTTTGTAATAGTGAAAAAATAATTGTGAAATTTTTTCTAGATTTTTTTTTAGAGAAAAGAAAATACAGAAAAGTCCTATACATAAATTGTGAAATTATCTAATTGTTTTACCCGATATTCAAAATTGTGTGTAATAGTGAGAAAAAAATTGTGAAATTTTTCTAGATTTTTTTTAAAAAGAAAAGAAAATGGAGAAAAGTCAATTTTCACAATTAATTTTCGCATTCAGTTCCACAATTTATGTATATAAATTGTGGAACTATCTAATTGTTTTACTCGATATTCAAAATTTATTGTAATAGTGAAAAATAATTGTGAAATTTTTCTAGATTTTTTTTAAAAGAAAAGAAAATAAGCAAAAGTTTTTAGCTATCATATTAACTTTAATATAAAAGATTATAATTGCATTAACACTAGATATAATCCTTACGAGAAATAGTGATCTTGAGATACACTAGAAGATCTATATAATGCAATTCTTCTTTCAGCTGCAATCGTTCATAAGCTATATTAGCCAAACAATCTCTGAAGCAAACCAAAATTGTTAAATATTTTGGTTTTTAGTTTTAATGCTCATAATAAGTATTTAAGTGCTCATTAGTATTTAAAAATTGCTATTGATCTGTTTCAGATATATATTGCCATGTTTAATTAGTAAGTTTAAAAATAAATGAAATGATCTTTATCAGTGGTCTCTGACCCCTGTGTCGCTGGCCATTATTGGCCTGCGGATCAAATAGTACCAGACAGCCTAATTAACATTCAATTATTTCCATTATATATATTGTAATGTTTGTACAACTTCACATGAACAAGAGTTTAACTGAGAGCTGAGAAACGCCACCAAAAGCTCTGCTTATACCTCGCATGTTATTGTATTTTATTTTCAAGGCATGTTTAAATACAACTAAATTAAAATCATTAAATCAAAACTATCTAAAATATAATTATTAATCTACTTACCCCTCTCAGCAGGCAGCATTAAAATTATCAAAGATTGACCGGTCCGCAGCTATAAAAAGGTTGGGAAGCACTCATCCATATAACACAAAATTCTTAAATGCAAAAAATCACATTTCAAGGTTTCTGTTATAAAGATCTTCTATTGTAATTGCAGTAACTTATATATCATATTTTTATGAGTTGAGTATAATATTATTAAATGAGTATAAGAAGTTTCTACTATAGTGCCATCTGTTCTTTAAATTTGATTTTAATAGCTGACTATTGTTTTTGTATTGAAAGGTACTATACATAATAATTGTTCCGTAAAAACACCCATTTAGTGAGATTGCAAAGTTCTAACTTACATTCAAAAATAATTTATATCCTAACTTTTTTAACGCTTAACTCTGTGTAACTTT